ATGCTCAGCAATATTCAATGGAGGATATGGGTTTAAAAAAAAAACTAATATGAAAGTAATATACTCTGAAAGTATTCAAAACACTAAATAAGTTTAAATTCGAATACTATATACATTCATATGCTAACACGTTTTAAGTCTTAAGTCTCACGTCTTAAGCCGCCACTCGTTATCAGTCGGACTTGTGTACATACATAGTGGTTAAAACGTAAGTCCCACAAGGGAGTGTAAAATATTGTCCTTCCAATCTAATAATAAAAACAAGTTGGTAAATACCTAACAGTAAAATTTTTTACTTTTAATTAAATTGTAATTATTTTTACTTTTTTTAATTTTTAAATTTGATTACGTACATTTTTTGGTTTGTATAAATAATAAAATATTATCCTGTATTACAGTAGAGGTCAGAGGCATACTCAGGAATATTCAATGGAAGAAAGGGGGTTGAAAAAAATATATTTCATGTTGTGCTCAATTGATTTATATATATTATTGATAAATATATAGTAGGGCTAAGTACGTGCATAAGCGTTTAACTAGAGATCTTACCTGGCAATACTATCTATTTAAAATAACGCAATAGGCTCAAAATGTTATCTAAATCAACAAGGGAAACTTTTTTTTCAGGTGGGTGGTACTGATTCGTAGTCAGGGGGCTAAGCGCCCCTTAGTTGCACCACTGACTAAGTACTTGGTAGTTTTGCATGAGAAGAGGAGTACTATTAACTATTAAGACAGACATAAACCTTATTTTAACAAAACATAAACGATTACTATACATGGGCGACACATTGTCTGGAGTTGTAAGCGAATAATAATTAAATAATCCAAAATAAATGTTGTTTTAATATATTAATTTTTGTGTTTAGGCTAGGTACTATACTATACTATTATAGTAAGCTAAAAATCTAAAAGAAATGTTGTTTATTATCATACAAAATCGTTATTATGTAATATGTTAAAGAGCTGTTAATAAACAAACGATTGTACCTAAACATATGTTTTTTTTTTTTTAATTTTACCAAAGGCAGCTAGTATGGATATGCCATATGCGGACGCAATAGCTGAAGGTTTCAAATGCAATGCAGAAATCTTTGGTCTTAAATTCAATACATTTATTGTAAATATGTATTTAAATCTTACATTAAATAAACACATAAAAAGAACAACAGTCAATAATTCTAGAACTATAAATATTAAATACCTATATTACTGGTATCGGTGTGCATAGGTATAGGTACAAACATAGGCACAACTAGGAACATTTTTTATTGGTGCTGAAATTGTATCAGCAGCATAACACACAATAATTAATATTTTAAACCTTTATCATTATATTTTATTTTAGGTTCTTGACGCACCAAAAAAATCATTCGTGATGCGCAAAATTTGATTATTCTCTCGACTGTTTGTCTGGCAATTGTCATGGGTTCTAAATCGGGTCTCATTACCCCACACCGAGAGCATGAGTAGAAAAACACCACCAATAAAGCCACCAAAAAAACTGGTTATTTTATATACATCAATGTATATCATCATCGGTGCATGATTTATTAATAATAAATGTACAAGATTCCCATACGAAAATAATAATATTATCAATGAATTTTGATTTAGATAAAAACCCTTTACTTCAAATTTATAAATTATTTAATTTTTTTTTCTAATTTAATTTGTATTTATACTATGACAAAAAACATGTATAAATTGTTTATACATTTTGTGTTACCAGGTGTAGTAGCTAAAAATGGTTTGCTAATATCAATTAAAAAAATCACATGTATTTATTTTTACCCAATTTTTTTTCTGCTACTTAAATGGCCAACTGTCCATTGGTTTTTCATACTCTGTGGATTTTGATGTGAAAGATCTATATACAACATTTTTACAAGATGTCTCTCATTTTGCTATGAATGTATTAATCATTATGTATTGATTAATTAGTTTATTATTTATTATTTTTTTTGTTTCCGTCATCATCGTTTAGCAGTGGCGGCCCTCCTCAAGGTGTAAACGGGTGGGTGGTCAATGGTCTGAGACCTTAGACCATGGTGGGTAATGATCCTAAATTAATAAAAAAATTATATTTAATAATCCAATCGGTGGCTTAGTGTAATATAGTGAAATACGAATAGAAATACTGAGTCCAGTGGCGCTGAACCTATATAGTAAGGGTGGCGACCGCCACCCCTTTTAAATGGGTTGGTGGTGGGTCCTGTTATGCAGGTGGGCAAATATCTAACAGAAGAAAAGAATTTGACAGCTAGATACTGAGTGTTCGATAGTAAATTAGTACTTGGAATCAAAAGTGTAACGACTGTAACGTCTATACACCGTGTATTCCTGTGTATTAATGAAGTAGGTAGTATATAGACGTATTCACTATAGACGTATAGTGAACAGTTTAAATTGTGTTATCTATTATTTTTACATTATCAGTTAGTGGTTTTTAGTACTGTGAAGTGGCTATTTTAGCCAACTTTTTTCCTGTAAAAACCAATAATGATATAATAATTATATTGATATAATATATTGATATACAATTAAAAAAGGTGCTCTGCTGTACAGTAGGTTACAAGTATGAAGTAGGCCACTGTATAATGGATAGTATTAAATTTTAATTCAATGATATAATATCATTGTATAAGAAAAACGATTCTGAGCGGAGACGGTATTGTGTCAGTCTAGGTATAAGACATAGTATATACTTATCTATCGTATCAAAAAAAATTTACTTAAAATAGGTACCTATAATAAATTCCAAATCAATCATATCATAATATCCATTCGGTACGTCTCCCGTGTAAATTATTATTGAAAAACTTATAAAACGTTTATTTATAGATATTTATTATGTATTATCAATTTGAACAAAATATACGATAAATTGTAAATTTCATTAATGATAAAAATCAAAATATATAAGATAATTTATTATTATAAACACGGACCACAGACTATAAATCTTAGTCCGTGATTATAATACAGGCTTACATATACTGATATACTAATAATATGTATAATAATATCGAGATTAAAATTAAAAATTCATGTTATCGGATGGTCGGTAACACTGTAAACAGTACCTATGTAGTTCATAATATCTATATCTAATTATAATTATAGCATTATTGTTATGCTCATGAGTTGAGGTCGATTTTTTTCGATTATTGTTTAATTATAACATTTCTTTTTGTACCCTACTGCAGTACTGCTTATCAATTGTATAATATATAAGATCTACGAAGACTAGAATATTCTTGTATTCATGATCAAATCTACGACTGCACTGCCATCCACAAGATAATAAACGTTGGTTAATTTATGACATGTGTTTAATAAATTTGTTTGTAATTTAATAATATTTATTTATTGTTGTAGTGTAACCTTTGTTTAACTTTAATGATTGTTTGATTTGTGTTGAAAATACTATATGGGGGGTGTGGGGGGCTTCACCCCCCACGGGTTAGTTTGGTTTAAATCATTGAGTGGAACGCTAAATTTTTATAAGTCCTCTAGCACCCCTTCTATTATATTTCCAATTCGAGCACTGTGTATACCTAGTGTGGATTCATTTATTCTGTGGTATACACTATTCAGTATTCACTGTACACTATAGGTACACTTTAGAGTATGGACTGAAAAAATACAGTATGTGAGTCATTTATTTAAATTTTTAATCTCGCTATTATTACTATCTTTTTTTCATTTAATCTCGATCATCTTTCTTAACACTTAAATTTCTTCCTAAAACCTATAGACAGTATTAAACACTTAAATATTCGTTATTCGATACCTTATATCGCTCAGAATTAAATTATAACTCGTGAAAAAAAAAAAATTACCCAACTATAACAAAAACAAAATCCCGGTATTTAAATATAACTGTAATTATAACAGGCTTCGGCACTTCTACCCATACGTGAACCATGACAAAATATACTTTGTCATGGGGTGAACAACCAGTTAAATATATAAGATATCCAGGAAGAGTTTGTTTTTTTTTTAAACTTTGTTGTATGCCCTCCGAGCAACCTAAAAACTTGATTTCGACAATTTGACAGAATTTTCTCCATCTTATAAAACACTCAAAAACACACATCATGATAAAATATTACTTCTTTATTTTAAATTTAAAAACACATTTTGAAAAATTAAATTCTCTTGGGAGTACAATAATTGCATTTTTTGCTTCTTCATACAAGCATTTAATGATTCTTTTTCTTATTGTAAAAACATGTTATTGTACATATCATTATATTGAACAAAAATAGTAGTTATAGTGTACTTGTCGTGGCACAAATTGCATAGGGCTAATGTGTGTTCTTTACATAATGGCACAGAGCACCTTGCACATTTTACCTATAATATAAAATAATTAATTGTATATACATATATTTGGGCTTAGTAGTGTATCTACTTACCACGGTATAGCGATTTTTCCTTGCAGGACAGTAAGCACATTTAACTCTTTCTGTAGGTCTTGGGTCCTCTTGAGTTGGTGTGGAGATTTGACCGGTGAAACGATTTATTTGTTTTCGAAGATCAAAAGACAAATTTTTACAATTCAGTCGTTGTTCCATAAATGGATTACATAGATCTTGCCCAAGAGATTTTAAAAATTGACGTCTACTTATAGTAGTATCAGTGTTGGCTTTATAAATAATTTGGCTATTTATACCAGCTATATTCATAAGAGAAAAAAATATGGTAATCTACAACTAATCCTTGCTACGGAATATTCAGCTTTTAGTTCGTCAACTACGTCGACTCCTCCTTTGGTAAAATTATAAAAAGTAATTACTTCAGGCTTACGTTGTTCTCCGCTTTCTACATCAATATCTCCTTGCTTGTGCATTGTTGACAACATCAGTACATTTTTATTTTTTTTTGGTACGTATGATACTAATAAACATTCTTTACTATATCCAAATTTACTACTATTCACTTCTCGTTTCTTTGTGTCCAAAAAAAGAGGAGGTATTTCTCTTTTATTTTTTCTAATTGTCCCAACTCCCAACCATAGTTATTCTATGATTTTGTAACAGGTCAACGGCCAATGGAACAGATGTAAACCAATTATCAATGGTCAAGTTCCTACCCGTTTTTGAAATTGGAGAAATCATCCTCTTGACAATACTTGATGCACTATTACCTTGATTATAAGGACCATTAGGTTGTTTCCCTACGTAAACCTCCATATTTGTTGTGTAAAATAAACGAGCATCTACGAGTGAAAATGTTTTTATACCATACTTGTTGGGCTTGTTAGGGATATATTGCCTAAAACTACATTTCCCTCTGAAACCTTCAAGCATCTCGTCAATGGTACAATATTCCCCGACAGTATAATTTAATTTACAGCGATCAACAAATTCATCAAAAATAGTTCGAATAGGTGCTAATTTATCAAATTTTTTTTTTTCACTGCGAGTATTTATATTATCAAACCTTAGTGCTCGTAATAATAAATAAAAACGCGTTTTTGACATAACAGCTCTAAAATACTCCGGAGATAACCCATCATTTGACCAAAGATCCGACAAATTTAGATGATTACTTTTCATCATACCAGCTATGTACAAAAGACCGAACAACGCTCGTATTTCTACTACACTCGTATCCAAGACATCTCGTTCCCTACCATAATTTATTCTAATTTTGGTCAAATAGATATTAGTACATGTAACAATTTCTTGAATAACGTTGTCTGGAAAGAAAAGTGACCAAGATTCTATAATTGTTTTTGCATTTCGCGCATGAGGTTTCACTCCCGGTAAATGAGTAATTATATTGCAATGAGCAGTACGGGTATTGCGTGGAGGTGGATTTTTTTTCCATTTGGTAATTTTATCCTTGCCCAAGTAGTATTCATTCTCACCTTCATCGTCAGGTTCTGATTCCTCGCTAGTGTTTTCGGTAGGTTCGTCGCTCTCGTAGTTTTCTTGATTATGCCGTTCTACAGATATTGTATTTTCATCATTTTCACTATCATCACTACACGAATCATTTAGTGATTCCATATCTTCATTTAACCACGAACTAATTAACTCACTCATACTTTTGAAAAATAAAATAAACGGCAAAAAAAGTAAAATATTGAATAAAAAAATAAACAAGTAAAAACGAAAATATGAACGCGAAATTAAAACGCTGTTACTCGCGCGTCGAGGGATTCGCTAACAAAACACGACTAGTTGATTTCGGAAAGCAACAGGTATCGTTATCGCAACGCAATTGTGCCAGTCAACTGATAAATCTATTTTTAAATACTTCGTCATAAGGTACTATGAATTTGGGAAAAATATAACAACCCACAAGCCAGTGGTTACCAACCTAAAAACTATGTGAGGGAAATTCTCACACGCGAGCAATGACGGGTTAATGTATTATTATAAGATGATAATATATCATAGTAGTATATGATAATATAATAGTAATATAAATGCCCTAAGATCAGCCTAAATTATTTGACAGTTTCGTTGTGTATAGAAAATGATATTTTAAGTGATAGTGGAATGATTCAAGTTTCTACGATCAATATTTTTCAATAATAAAAAATAAAAAAAAATGGACAAGTATAGGTATCGCTCTGCTAGTCTGCTGTATATATTGTGTCACACTATTGTATAAATAATCAAATTTCTTTATTAAAAATAAAATTGATACAAATCGAAATTATCTCATGGCTATAATAGCGTACTTTCAGGTGAACTTTTTTTTTTTTTTTTGAAAGAGTTAGAAAATCGTATTGGTATTCTTCTTTCAAATTAGAATGTTAGATATGAAAAAAAACTTTTATGAATTTCAAACTGAATACATTTGCTATAGACTTGCAAATTTTTGGAATTTAATGAAATATGTCAACATTTGAACTTAAAACGCATATAAAAAATATGTGTATCTTAAATATTTTTAAACAGCATAAGACTATGGTAGATTTCAATTATATTTGTATTAGGCACTTTATAATTTAAACATTGTTCAAATATCAAATAATAATATTAAATAACTATTACTAGCTGTCCTCAATGCCCTCGTGAGGCGTTTATTTCAATAAAATAAAAACAAAACTTATTTTTATTAATTATTGTCGGGTCATTCAGTGTTACACCTTGTATAATAAATATTCCACGTTTCTCTGACAACCATGACCGCGGTAGATTTATAACCATAACTATAGTATACCAATATTATTGTAATAATAAGAAATTATTATAATATTATGGTCATTGGTCATGTGACTCGGCATCGCTGGTGTTATAAACGCTTCGTGTTATAGACAATATAGAGTCTAGGATTCTGAATTTAAAATATTTCGTTTGAAATTTTTCTATTAAAATATTTTAAAATTGAAAATTTCACTCTTTTGAAAGTAATTCAATTAAATTTCAAAATATATTTTTAGAGCTTGTGTTTTTTTTTCTGTCTGACATAAACATTTGTGGTAGTCTTTTGCTCGCTTCGATTTTCAACATCAGAATTTTTTCTGATAGAAAAGTGAATCTAGTTAGTACTTTTGAGAGGTAATAATTCAAAATCCCCAGTAATTTTAGAAAGCGTCAGGAAAAACAAAAACATCAATTATATTTGTTTGGTGTAATTCAAAAACGAATAAACACAGACACTATTGACATCTTCACCAAATATTTATACTAGCATTTTCAGTGCATGATATTTATTTTGATACTTTTTGTACTATTTATGGCCACGAGACATTTTATAATTTTCTAAATTATTTTTCAGTTAGAAATTCATAAAAGTTTTTTTATTTATTTTTTATTTATTATTCGCTGGAAAGTTATGCCATTAACAACCATGTCAATTCACTGATATCATACGCGCTGTTATCGGACGACATTAAATATGCATGTATGCGCTCTAACGCCTTGATCTGCGTTTTCCTTTTCTTGCAAATGCTGCTTTTTTCTGCTGTTGTTAAACCCATTTTGATATTGCTTTATTGTAATTTGTGAGCAAACTAAAAACAATGTTTTGTTTTTGAAGTGAAACTTCTTATGTGAGGGGTATCGAAAAAAAAGAGAGTGACGCTCTGACCGTCACGGACGCTCGGGCGTCACGGACGATCGGGCGTCACGAAAACGGTACGATGTTTTGTTTATAAACAAACCAGTATAAACGTATAAACAATATTCCGTAGTCAAGTTGATAAAAGCGAAAACGCATATATAATAAATATTCCAGAGTGCGCGATGAGTAAAAGAAATGTCGCGGAATATGAGAGTTCGGCCGGAACATTATAAAAATATATATCTTAATATACTATTTTTAGGTGAGTCAAATTATGTATATTAAAAATATAACTCGATGAATTTAATCATATTATATGACTATACTATAAGTATTTAATAAATAATAATAATAATAATTAATATTTAGTTAATACTTGACACATTTACAATGACCAACGCACCTATATTTTTCAAATAGTATATAATACTCTGATGGTTCAATTGTATAATGATATGACATAATTTGATATTACTCAATATATATGTCTATGGTCTATCAAGTATATTTATTTATTTAATATCAAATGTAATAATTTATGAATAACAAATTGATACATATATTATGTACCTACATAATATGACTAATGTATTTTATAGATGTATGTATATACATAATAGTAGGGTTATATTATATGTATGGACATGAATTACTACTGATATTAGTAAATATTTTGGTCCATTGGTCTAAAAGTATAAATTAAGTACCTACACATAATATTATAAAGGTAGGTAGTAGGTATTACTTAATGTATTACGGTTTTTAGGTGAGAAAACAAAATATAACTTAATGTATTTAATTAAATTCTGGCAGGTAAATTGCATAATGGTATGACTATACTATACTATACTAATTAAACTATTTAATAAATAATAATAATAAATATTTAATTAATACTTGATTTCATCTACATATTTACCATTACCAACGTACCAATATGTTTCCTTTATACTTGGATAGAAAATGGTACAAGTACAATTATTTATATTATATATAAGTAACCTACATGTATACTTTGTAGAAGGTACCTACTTGATATATCATTATTAATACCATAAATATATATATACCATTAATTAACATAAAATTATTATTATTATTATTATTATTACAAAACCTCATATCAGTTGTATGACTGAAAGAAGTTTCACTTCATCCCCGCGTACTTCTTACACGCTCGACTTTTTTTTTTTTTTGTTTTTTTTTTTTACATTTACTCTGTTATCACTTGTCGATAACGCGTCAACTGATGTTAATGTTGTAAACGAATTGACGATTACGATTTGGTTACCGTTTGTTAGGTTATGTTTTTGTTTTCATAAACATACTTTGTCACCAGCTAATACCATACTGTGACTGCCATGGTGCCATGTCGCCATGACATTATAATACGGAATTTTCATTTGCACCAACCTTTTGTATCCGGCTCGAAGGACCAAATTTTATGTTGCTGTTTTATCTAGGAACTTTAAGTAAACACACACAAACAACTTATTTTAATTATGTATAAAACGGACTGTATTTAATTTGAATTGTAAATGACTTTACAAAAGGTATTGAATTCATGAAATCATGACTATATACTGACTAGGTGACAAAAAAATATGAAATAATTGAGTAATTGACACAAAATATATCAGTGCTGCCAATACAGCACCAGTATTATAAACATTAACACAAACAACGGTTATAAATTATTTGTAGGTAAATATTAAATGGTTAGTACCTATTACATAATATATTATTGGTTAATTTATCACACATCAGTTGGGTCCCTATTGGCTATTATTTATTAAATTTTTATTAGCAACTATTCGGTACAATAAACAAACTATTAAAACTAATGTTCTATAGCTGTAAGTTTGTGACTATACTTTTGTAGATGTTATAATACTCATTTTTTTCAATTTACATTTTTCACAAAATTGGAATTTTAAAATCCTGCTTATAAATATAGGTATGGTTATATTATTATCGTAATAATATTATCGTAATAAGGTCATTGGTCGTTGCACACGATGCATCGTCGTCGTTTTGACAACACCCGCTTGCGTCAATTAAAATTCTAAAACAATCGGAAATTTGTGAATTATTTAAACATAAACATTTATGTACGATACACGAATAGAGCAGTATGTAATATTATAATACCATTCAGAGTACTTTTGAAAACTACTTTGAATATTTTACTTTTGACAACCCAAAGTACCAACAAGATTCACTTTCCTATCAGAAAAGATACTGTTGAAGAAAATCTATGCATTTTTACATTCCTAAAAGGTGATGAGAGACACAAAAATAAAAAATATGAAATAGGTACTGGCTTAAAAACATGCAGTTGATATAAATAGATATTGATCGACCGTATTTGTTTATAAACCGTAACGACAATAGTATGTTTATTACATAATTGTAAGATAATCAATTACGAGTTATGTACAAAAAACCTTAATTTCGGACGTTGTTCACCTTGAATTGACGTGTAGGACCTATTATTTACCAGAATCTGTCAAAATAAGGTTGACAAGATCAGTGTATTTCCGTGGGACTTACAGCTCTAAAATGGACAAGAGACAATTTCAATGTGATGAATGCGATAAAAAGTTTAAAAATATCACAAAATTAACTGAACACCGGAGGACCCACACAGGTGAGAGACCGTACCCATGCGATGTTTGCGATAAGTCGTTCGCTAATTCTAGTGCTTTGACTGTACACCGGAGGACCCACACAGGTGAGAGACCGTACCCATGCGATGTTTGCGATAAGTCGTTCGCTAATTCTAGCACTTTGACTGTACACCGGAGGACCCACACAGGTGAAAAACCATACCTATGCGATGTATGCGACAAGCCATTCGCTAAATCTAGCACTTTGACTGTACACCAGAGGACCCACACAGGCGAGAAACCATACATATGTGATGTGTGTCACAAGTCATTCGTTCATTCTAGCACTTTGACTTCACACCAGAGGACCCACACAGGCGAGAAACCATACCTATGCGATGTGTGCGACAAGTCATTCG